AAAAAAAAAATCCCACCTGGCAAATTCCGAGATCTGTCCAAAACCGTTGAGTTTGGTGGCATCAACAAACAACACACCTCTCGAAAAACAAAACAAGATTTTCCGGTTTATCGGAGATAATAAGTCAAGGAAAAAAAAAAACAAAAAAAAACTCTCCGTCACGCGATGCGCCTGTAAACAGGGCGNCACCAGAAAATAAATTACACCACACGCAGCTGTCATCCGTACGCAAGGAAGTAAGCACAAGATGCCGAACACCCTTAGCAGGATGCAGCGCACCCTTCATGCGACTCGCCGAATATCTCACGGCGCTTCGCGCTTGGTGATGTGAGAGCCTGGTCCGGTGAGAACCCGGCGTGCTCCGTCCCGGCTTTGTAGGGATGCGAGGTCAATGGTCTAACGACTACGGCATGCACGACTATGAGTACACCCCCCCCACCCCGCCACAACTGGCCCCAAACTACGCCGAGGGGCTTTCTACCGGGTTTGCACCGGCCAGGCAACCAAAACACCAGGGTAAGGGAACTACTACAGCAAGAAAAAGCAAAACAGAGACAAAAGGCAAAGAAAACACGTGGGTGCTACTTCAGAGGTGAAAGCCAGGTGACTTCCTCGAGAGCAGAAAAAAATGAAACAAGTTCGCAACGGGGATGGACAGTCAAGGGCAACAAGGGCAAAACAAATTGTGCACACACAGGTGCACATGGTAGGCACAAGCCGGAAGGCATAAATTAAAACAAAGCGAAACAAAACAAGGATATATACAGGCAGGACAGGGCAACAGCACGCTAGATAGGGGCCAGGGGCAAGGCAGCGGCGGCGCGACAGGGCGACGGTAGGCAGCAGAGGGTGCGCAGGGGGCCCAGCGTAACTAGTCGGCCACGTGTCTCGCCACGCGCTCAGCTTCCCACTTTGGGACTTCAGCTAGGGCGGTGCCGCTTCCCCCGCTCGTCCGCTTCCTTCTACTTCTCCTGCGGTCTGGAACCATGTACAGAATAGCTGAGATACATAGACAAAAGTAAATGTGTCTCTCCACAGAGTCATCTACCAATTCCACAAAGCACCCCAGCACGGGAGCAGCACCTTCTGTGCCGGAGGCTTGCTCACTCTCCGTGGTTCATTATGACCCACGGGGTGGACGGCCAGGGTAGCACAGGGAACGAGCATGGCATCCTCAGGCGCTTCGGTCGTAGCACCAGGATTCTGTTCCCTCCCATGGCCTCCACGTCCAGCACCTGCAGGGTCCCCTTGCTGTGCCTCACGTTGTCCTTAGCTTCTAGGTTTTCGATCACCCCGATCTTGACGTTCATCTGCAGGTGCACGCCCAGGTCGCAGAGGACCTCGCAGTCGTCGTAGTCTCCGGCGGCAACGATCTTCGTGATCGGTCTCTTGGCGACGTCAAGAGCGGCACCTTCCACCGAGCTCCCTTGGCCTTGGCCCACTCCAACTGAAGCGATTTCACCACCGGCCTCGAAGTGGTAGTCGCTGTTTTGGGCGACGGCCCTGTGTTCGATCCTCGGATAAATCGTGAAAGTGGCGTACTCCTGTTTAGGAATTCGGCAAAATGCGAGAGGATCGTGAGACAAGGAAAATGTCGCACACGCGAAGATGGTGGCTGCCAGTGCATTGACGTGAAGTCAACGGTGCGACTTGCCTGCGTGGCGTTGCCCAAGCGAACCATTGGCCTCGCAGATTTCTCCCGGCTGACCTTCCTCCTAAGAGGGCCGAATAAACCTCCGATATCTCCTTTCAAGTAGGGCAGATTGCCGGACTTCTTGTGGTTGTACCCCGGGATGTTTGGCACAACGGCTGTCTTAGTCCCGTTGGCCACAGTGCAAAAGTGTTTAAGGGCAATCTCGACCCATACTTCCCGCCCCCCAAGTACCGGAGAACGAAAGTGTACGGTATACGGTTCCAGAGCAGTCCAATTGCCCACCCCGTCTGGACTCGTCAGAGGTCTGTAGGTCTCCAAGATGTGTTTCTCGATGTCCTCGTCATTAACCACCTGATCACGTATCGGCAAAATATAATACCGGAGGGGGGGGAGGTTGGCTTTTCGCTCAACGAAAGACCACATGCTGCTTTGAGACTCTTTCGAACCATTGGGCAGTGATACGAGAATACACGCGAACGTGCACACACTCTGAAGTGTCCGTCCAAACGGGTACGTAGCGGGGGGTGCTCAGCGCTATTCCAAAGGACTTGGATACCGGCGGTGAATCACTACAACTGATTTGGGACATGGGTTCCAAACAAGCAGGCGAGCGAGCTGCGTTCTACGTCGCATCTGCCGCTGGCTAAGCGGCACGGGACACGCTATGATTCCACGAGGACCAAGCATCACTCACCCGGTCCGAGCTGGCTCCGGCTGCAAATTCGTCCACAAACCCCATGAAGAAGCGCAGCTTTGCCGGCTTGTTGTCCAGAAAGATCGCCTCTTTGGGGCCGTGAACGAAAGTCATGGCCAAGAACTCCTCCTTGCCACAGCCCTCGTGAGAAGGAGCTCTTTTGGAAAGTGCACGGAATAAAGAGTTGAGTGGATGGACCGACAAAGTAACAACGGAACCGAGCCGTGTGACTCCTGACGACTCCGTTATACTTAAATCATTAGGAACCGGGGTGGGAGGTCAACCAAAAACAACCCTTTCTACACGGCACCAAGGTACACTCGAGAGCACCACGGTGAAGCTCGTGGGGTTGATACGGAATAAAAATGCCGATGAGGTAGGAAAGAAGGGGCACGCAGGGCCTGATCGGCAGGATAACCCAATATAGAAATAATTCAACACGGTTGATGTCGGGCCCACACTGTCAGCATAGCCCAAGCAAGGAGTCAGGGGAAGTAGAGTGAGGGAGAAGTATCACACACCTGCTGTCGCATTCCACGAACAGAAGACGTGGAGACACCGTCACGGGATGATGCACCTCTGCGCTGAGAGAATCAGCTTCAACTTCAAGCTCAACGCCAAGGCTTGCCGACCCGAAAGTACAAGGATTCGGCCCCAAGGATCTCGCAAGGGTCTCTGTGTGTAGAGGTCCAGGGTCTCCAGGCCATCGTCGCCGAGGGGTTCCACCAGATTGGCGTCTCGCTCCTCCCCCCCTTCCTTCGCCACTCGCGTCGCTTCCGTCGATTCCGGGGCTTTGTCTCTGTCGGGGGGGGCGTTGCGGAACTATCTGCAGACCGAGTACGGCGACTCGGTGGAAGTCACGTACAACGGTCTGTACGGCGGCCAGGATTCGTACGCCGTGTGGCCACTGCTCTGTTGTAGCTACGCGATGCGACGGCGTATTTAGCAACAACGTTACTACATTGCCCATACAGGCTCTGCGGTCGAGACTACAGGCATCACAGACTGCACCCGGCTTCTTCTTGCGAAAGCAGCGATGCGCATGATCACTACGTAGGTCCACAGCCGGCTCTTGAGAAAAAAGGGATTTGGTGTCTCTAGGGCGCAACGGAGCAGTATCTCGTGACGAGCTGCACCACAGCCCATGACAAGGGCCAGCGGGGAGCTGGCAGCAGCTGACTGTTGGGTGTGACGTAACAGCCCAGAAGATTACTTTTAAAATTTCCGGGCTTGAGTTTTTGTTCGTGTTTCGCACGGTGTTTTGGCTTCAAATCTCGTTTGCGCTTCCGCAGAATCTTTCTAAACATTTGGCGGCACTTCGCAAACACCCGAAAGAAACATCTACTAGGTACCACGTGAAAGTTCCTCAACTGCTGAACTTTCTCACCTGCGACCTCAACAACTCCGCCCTGTTGTCAACCGACTGCAACAAGTGCTGGGCGCAACTGATAGGTGCCGGGTGCCACGAGATATTTCCAGGAATATTCTGACGGTTCTCGTCTGCTTGTAAAACAACCCCGCCCTGTTGAGCACTCCTGAGTCTATCGGGTACCACAAGAAACTTCCTGGAATTCGTATGGCTCTCACCTGACTCTCCAACAACAGCGCCTTGTTGATGAGCGAGCGGGCCACGTCCGGGTGGTCAGGCCCTAGTGCTTTCTCGCGGATGGCAAGAGAACGCTCATACAACTTCCCGGCTTCGTCGTAGTTGCCCTGGGGTATACCAAAAACAGCGAGGGGGTCAGTGTTGAGTTGTAGATATTGATGCGGAATAACAAATGCTCAACAATACGCCCTGTTGTTGAGCACCTACAAAATCTGTTGGGTACCACAAGAAATTTCCTCTAGAATTCTGACGGCTCTCACCTGTGCCTTCAACAACAACGCCCTGTTGTTGAGCACTCCTGAGTCTATCGGGTACCACAAGAAACTTCCTGGAATTCGTATGGCTCTCACCTGACTCTCCAACAACAGCGCCCAGTTGTTGAGCGACTGGGCCACGTCCGGGTGGTCAGGCCCTAGTGCTTTCTCGCGGATGGCAAGAGAACGCTCATACAACTTCCCGGCTTCGTCGTAGTTGCCCTGGGGTATGCCAAAAACAGCGAGGGAGTCAGTGTTGAGTTGTAGATATTAATGCGGAAGAACAAATGCTCAACAATACGCCCTGTTGTTGAGCACCTACAAAATCTGTTGGGTACCACAAGAAATTTCCTCTAGAATTCTGACGGCTCTTACCTGTGCCTTCAACAACAACGCCCTGTTGTTGAGCACTCCTGAGTCTATCGGGTACCACAAGAAACTTCCTGGAATTCGTATGGCTCTCACCTGACTCTCCAACAACAGCGCCCAGTTGTTGAGCGACTGGGCCACGTCCGGGTGGTCAGGCCCTAGTGCTTTCTCGCGGATGGCAAGAGAACGCTCATACAACTTCCCGGCTTCGTCGTAGTTGCCCTGGGGTATGCCAAAAACAGCGAGGGGGTCAGTGCTGAGTTGTAGATAATATTGCGGAATAACAAATGCTCAACAAAACGCCCCGTTGTTGAGCACCTACAAAATCTGTTGGGTACCACAAGAAATTTC